TTCAGGACATCTAAGTAACCAGGACAATACAAGTAAAGACAGTCATGAAAGAGGACTTCCAGAACCACTCCAGAAAGTCACAAGGACAATGGGATAAGTGTGTGTGAAGTACACATGTGGGGGGTACTTTGAGAGACATTAATGGCAATGTTCTTTTTTTACTGTAAAATTAAAAGAATTTAAAAATCTGCCATATGTTTTGATTTCTCCTCATTTTATAAATGTTTTAGAAAGATGGCTGTATTCATCTAGTAAAATGCAGTTTACAGTAAAATCACCAGAGAGGATTAGTACAGTTTGTCTTTGGTCATTTGATTCTGATGACATGCTCTTCTACTCTGATCTTGGAGACAGATCAAGGTACATATGGATAGATGAATGCGAAGTATTTTTTTACCTGGCTCGATATTGGAGAAGAAAGGAGAGGTAAAATAACAAATCAGTGGAAAAGAAGCTTGCTTCTCATTTTATTTTTGAGCATTTTAATAAGAAAGTATTTGGAATTCAGGAGGTAATGATTACGAGAAAAGAATTAAACCATTCATCTGCACTTAGTGGTAAAAGTGCAGATATATGTGTAAGTATATCTGGTCCCTAGAAAAGAAAAGAAGGAAAGATGAAAGGAGGGAGGGAAGAATGAGAGAGGGATGGGGGGAAGATAATTTTAGAAGACTAATTTTGAGGAGCTTTGGAAGGATAACATAAAAGTAAGGCCAAAGAAGTAAGTTTAAGAGGTCACCAGAGAAAATCAAATGACAGAAAAGAAAGAAGTAAAGAAAGATATTATTTCAGCAAGGATAAAGTAGATATACTAATAATAAAAATGTCAAAAAATAATAATATCAAAAGTAATCAGTCTTACTAGGCACTAACTTTGAACAAAAGATATGCAAACTATCTCATTTAACTACAAAAACAGACTTTTCAAAGTAATAGGAACCAAGTTCATAACTTAATGTTTTAAAACAAAGAAAGCTTTGTGAACCATATGGAACTCCAAGGTGGAGGATGAAAGAACATGTTCAGGAAAGAAAAGGTTTATTCTAACTCCAGAGGTAGAAAAAGTTCTGAGGTCAGTGGAAACTCATATACTCTATCATTTACAAACACTACTGCTAGAATGACTTGAATCCAGTTATGTCAATTTACTTAGTCACTGTGCTCATTATCAAGGAAGTGCTGAAATCTCCTACTGCTGACCTTTCAGTTAGAGGACAGCATTCTCTAAATAACAGTCCCAATAGACTATATACATGTACGAAACGTAATTTGCTCAACTGAGGCCAGGGTGGCCTTATCAAAAAAAGGAGGGACACAAGATAGCAGTATAAAAGTGACCCACAGATCTCCAACTGAAATGGCCGGGAGCCAAATCCTAGGTAAATTAAGCAATAGGCCTAAATTCGATCAATTTAACAAATGAAGGAATCTATACTAAAGCCAAGCCCTAGCATTCACTTGTGAAAATTTGAAGAATGAGGAAAGACTGCCTTCTGTATGATTTCTAGGAGTTTCAGGAGCATAGAAACCAGTTAAGAGGATAACATCAAGTTTTATAGAGCCAGTTTTAAATAACCAGAATCTTCAACATAAGTGACTTTGCCAACATTTTTTTGCAGAAAAGAAAAGCAAAGAACAGTTTGATGGCAAATCGGAGGAGGGAAGATTTTTTTAAAACAAAATAGGGAAATTCAGGTAGGTTTCTGAGTTGAAAGAAAGAGGTTGGACAGGGAAGAGAAAGCACAGTAATGAAGTAAGATCTTGACAGATGCAGAAAGAGGTGATATCAAAAGGTCAGATGAATAAAAGAACAAGGATCTTGAGATGCACAGTGAGGTACAGGTGAGGAATGATTCCGATAAATCTGGAAATACAGAGGGGCAGGGGTGGTATCCTTGATGGCCTCAATATTCTCAGGAGTGGGCGGTGAGATCTTGTGTTGGGGTTGAGAAGAGTAAGGGGGAGGGTGGGGACCTGAGGAGGGTGCGGCCAGAGCAGCTGCAGTGTGGAAGGGGGAGACCAGCCAAGCAGGGATGAGTAACAGGGCTGCTGAGCAGTTCTGAGGGCTCAGCTGACTTGGGAAATCATAAAATTTTAGCAGAGTCAATCAGCATGGTTATTCAATTTTCTCAGGAACTCTTGGCAGCCCAGGAGGAGGACAAGGAGAACAAACAGATGGCAGGAATGATCTGGTAATGGGATTGGCAAGGCAGCTGTGAGAGAAGGTCAAAGACTGGAAGAAATCAATTGCACCCATGCAAGTGTGTTCAGAATGATTATTGGGATTTCAAAATTGGAGGGAGTGGAAGTCAAGCCAGGAAGGATTGGGGACTGCTAAGTCACAGAAAGACAAACAGTGGAGGTCATCGGCCTCTGAAACTAAAGAAGAGTTGTGGGCTTGAGTGAATGAGATACTCGAAACAGGAGAACTTCACAATTCTAGACATTACAGTACTGTGCTTTGCATTTAGAAATACCGCATTTTGCAGCCATGGGTGTGGATTACCAGGGGAGTGAACATGAGTGTTACTGAAGTGTAGAAGTGAAAGAATTTTGAAGTTAAATAAAGGAATCTTACCCATATCATCAAGAATAGTAACAAGTTAAAGATGAGAAAACAGTAACAACCACATACCAGGTGCCAAATTAGTCAAGTGAATTGATGAAGTACTTGTGGGGAAGAAGATTTAGAAAAGAGCTAGAAATTAGATGTTTTGAAGTTTGTTAATAGAAGTAGTAGAACAACATTCAGAATTTAAAAATGAATTCTAAAAAAAGGTCCCTCTTCGTCTTTACACAGAGGTAGGAAGATGATGACCAGTTTAGCAGTATTGCAGCACATAGTGATATTTAAGTGAGTAAAACTTAAAAACTCATTGCACATAATATCCATGTATGAAATTTTAATTTGTATTTAGCCTATGATTTGTTCCACAGGATACATTTCTTTCTCTGCTAGGTGGTCATATCAGTTTGCATTTAAACATATGGCATTATAATCTATTTTGAATATGAAATGCCTAACTAATCATGAAGAGAAATCTGTGACTCAGTTGACCTTTCCACATGGCTCTTAGCAAGGTAACCACATTTTCTCTTGCTAAGTCCAAGGATCAATTCTATCTTGTTGCATCCATCTGGGTATTGAAAACATGCCTGTCCCATTAGATATCTAACTCTGTAAAGTACCCCCAGGATTTTGTTCCTATGTCTCTGTTTCTCAAGCTTCTCCCTTGGGCTCTTCACTCAGTACACCTAGTTGGCTTTGTCAGTGGCAAAGACAGTGTGACACAGGAGTCAAGCAGTAAGTACTGATGCCAGATTTTCTCTGGCTTTGTCATATAGCTCACAGACTAGGGCTAGTTTCTTAATCTACGTATTTTAGTTTTTTTTAATCTCTAAAATGAACTACTTCTTGGGTTTAGGGGGAGAAGAATTAAAGAGGTAAAACATTGAAAAGTGCTTAAAATATACTTGGCATTGAATATGTGTTCCATAAATACCAGTTACTAATGTTATCACAAACATATTAAAGCAAAAGAGGAACTGTTGATTTTTCCTCAAATACCTTGTTATGATTTGAATGCCCTCATCAATTCATGATGAAGTTTAAATCTCCATTGTGAGGTATCAAGGGGTGGAGACTCAATCTACTGAGTCAGAGGTTAATAGTATTTGGAAACCGAGCAATTGAGGGACAGGAAGATTAGATGAAGTCATGGGATGGCACCCCCATGATTACACGTATGGCGTTAGAGGAAGAGGAAGGGTGATCGGGCTAGTACACTTGCTCGGCCATGTGCTGCCCTATACCTCGTTACAAAGCAGCAAGAAGGCTTTCAGCAGATGCAGCCAGTCAGCATTGACCCTCTAAAACTATGAACTGAATAAACCATTTTTCTTTATAAATTACCCAGTTGCTTTATAAATTACCCAGCTATATTCAGGTGTAGAAACAGCAAATAAAGTAAGACACACCCCAGTTTGTTCTCTGCCCAAACTTCCCTTATATGAATGAATAGTTCTGTACAGATCCACCCAGTTTGCTAACTGTAAAAACCAGAGTTCATCTTCTATTCATTTCTCTTATATACTACCCTGAGGTTTTAGTAATTTATTTTATCTTTATATGAAAAATGTATCTCAACTCTAAGCACTTTTCACCATCTTCTCTTTTAAATCATATTCCAAACACCAACACTGTTCTGTATCTCTGATTATACTATTCTCCCTGTACAGGTCTCTCTAATATATAAATGCAAACATGTCCTTCCACTGTGTAAAATCTGCTGGTGCCTTTCTGTTACAATGAGAATGAAGTCCAGAACCTCAGAGTGGTCTTCTTATGCTTACTGGGTACCAGACTGTTTGTGGGCCCTCAACCCCTTTAACTCTCAGGATTATTCACTAAATCAAAGCCATTCTGGGATTTTTTTTTTTTATGCCACTCATATGTGACAAAGTATTTCCCCTGTCAGTGTCTTTGAACTTGTTATTCTTTCTGCTTTGAATCAGGTACCCACATTTGCCTTCTCTCTTCATGATACAAATTTCACTTTAGGAACCAAGTCCTTACAGAGGCTACACACCCGTCACTTTCATCTTGATTTTCTGTTTCCTATTTTTGTGGCATTCCTTAAGCTCTGCAATCCCTGACCTAGACTTACTTGTTCCATATTGATCATTCCTGTCTCTGGAAAAATAAAAGGATCTATTTTCATTTCACTTGGTTAATCTGATCATATGCTTTATGGCAAGAAGATTTCTTAAATTTTATTTTTGTTGTACTTGGTCATATAATTAGTTATTAGACAATACACTGCTTATTTCATTGGGCATTTTAGAATAGGAAGTAGCTCTAGCTGTCCTCTTCACATGTATAAAAGTTGATGTGAATGAAAGCGTATTTGCTTTAGATCTAGATTTCTCATAAGAATTCCATTTTTGGAAAAATTCAGTTATTACTTTTGACATATTTGAAATCTCAGAAGGAACTGCTAACATGACCTGCAGATAGTGTTAAAGCTTAAAAGTACCTCATTACTTCACTTGAATTATAAATTATTTTAGTAACAAGGTTGATGTTTCAAAAGATTCTAATTGTTTTATCAATAGTCCCCCAAATCATAAATAATAAGCAAAACCAAGAAGTGACCTTTTTTACACTCAATTTTCTTTTGGGCGAAGGAATGAAAAACATATCATTATTTCTGAAGCAATGATATATATTTAACTGAGAATGCACTTATTTTTGGTAATAATCTCACTTTAGGATCAAGACATTGAGTGTGGAGACACATCACAAATTACTGTTTTTAACAATAATGTGAAAATTAGGATAACAGGTATGAATGAATTGTAATCATGAAATTTCTACTACAAAAATAGAACATGTCCTTACTCAATGAATATAAAGATAATGTTATGTTTGCAGCCCCAACTTTATAATCATTAAGAATTTGCATGTAAAATTAGGCTTTCTGTGCATAATGTGAAACCACAAATATTATATTTTCGGATTCTGGTTGATGGAGCAAATGGTTCTGACTAAATAGTAACATTTAGCCCTAACTCCACTTTTGTTGTCACAGCCAACATCTATTTGAATAAAAAGGAAATTTGGAACATTTTCAGAACTCCAATTGACAGAGAGGGCTGGAGGAGAGGCTTTCTGGTTTTAAATATTTTGTATATCCCAAAATAAGATGCAGGATAAGAGCTTGTGTTCATGGTGACTGTCTAAAGCCAGGAGAGGTCACAATCTTTTCTTTCTTCACGACATAGCAAAAGGGTGGAGTCATAGTTGGCCTTCTAGCATCTGCAGTGACACGGGCATCATCTTTTCTTAGCCACCATGTAGGAGCATCTCTCCAATGGTGTGCAGAAGATGACTGAAGTCTAGATGTTTTCTTAGGCTGTGGGATGAATAGAAGACATACAAGCACCGACTAAATAAATAAAAATACCGAAAATGGATTACATACAACTATCGATCATTGATTTGCAAGTGTACAATCAGTAAATCTCAAATATCACAGAAAATCCACCATAAATTAATTGCATTTCCTAGCCTAAAGTAGTAACTTTTCTACAAATTGTTTAGGATGTTTGAATACTAAATGTTTTCTGCCTCTTAGAGCCCAAAAGCTTTTTCAGGGCATCCTGGTCAGATCTTCCTCCTTTTCCCTCTGATTGTCTTTTGTTTTCTTTCAGGACAACTTAGACACAATTCCTAAAAGAGCACCATTTGGCCAGTTTCCATCTGGCATTCTTCCCCTCTTCTTTTCACTGAAATGTGTGGAGTCTGGTTTGTGTTGCTATTTCTGAGTAAATCCTGCTTTCAGTTCATCACACATCCTTGCCCCTGTTTTTCATATGAGCAGTTACCTCTTTTGTGGGAAAGAATATGGGTAATTCTGGGCTCTAACTAGGTGGAATCAGATAAAAAATAAACTGTAGAAATATGGGCTTCTAATTTCTAGTAATCTTTTGTATGCTTTAGCATACAAATATGTCATGTGAAAAGTTCCTTCTGTGCAGAAGAATTGAGTATTTTATACACAGATAATTAGAAAATTGTCAAGACATATGTTGCTTTTACAAACGTCTTTGTGTTTATTGTTTTGCAGATGATACCAAAAACTATCATGGTGCTGAATTATGAGAAACCTCTTGACTTAGAGGTCTTCATCAGTGACTAATTGCTGCTATTTGTAACCCAATTTAAAGGCAAATAAAGCACCCATCTGCTAATTCTATTAATGTTTCTGTATTAAAATGGCGATTGGTCCTCAAAAAGAAGATATGCAATTATGAAATATTCAGATCTGTGTCACCATTGAAAGGCTTAGAAATGTATCTGGCAAAATAGAATTTATCTCGCCTTTTCTTATTCTTTGAGAAGCCTATAATCTCTTAAAAACTCAAATTGGATTAATGATGTAGCTATGTATGTACATATACGCGACAAAATAGCAAATTAAAGCAATCATCTGAATAAATCAAGGCAAAAACAAGCATTCATAATTAAAATTTGTATAGAATTATCAAATACCCTCACCCCAATTTCTCTGTGTCACTTACTGTGAAATTTATGGGCTTGAATATAACTAAGTTCATCCATTGAACAAGGGAAAGGGAAATGTAATCTAAAACTCAGATCTTGAGCAAAATTGTATTTCCCTGTGAGTCAGTTTCTGTGGTGATCAAATGAAAGATCTTTAAGTGCTGTTGGGAAGAATTAAAGAAATTTGAAAAAATAAGATTTTTTTTTTTTTTGGTAAAAGTTAATCTCTTCCTGAATGCAGAGATAATTATCATCATGTAGGATTCCAAAGTAGAAGAATATTAATCACTCACTTGAGTACTAAATTGTTTCCTCTGTGAGGCAATACATAGACTTGCTCCAGCTCTGTTTCATTCTGAGCTATGACCCCTTGGGGACTCATGAATATCCACTCACCTTCTGCTGCTGCATGGACGTTTATGTGGACCCACACTGGAGACTGTGGTTCTCCTGCTTGACTTCTGCCTTTGATGGGTAGCTAGCCTCAAGTAGAAGGAGATGGACTGGTATAAATTCTGTATAAAACATACTCTGCCACTTGCCCCTGTGGCGCCAGACATTTTCTGATTTGGGGATGCCATCTCACTCCTGTTTGCCTTTGCACACACCTGTGATGCAAATTCCCTTTTCTTGCTATGTTTTGTTGTTCTTGTTTTTCAATGTACAGACCAACTCAGTGTGGTGAAGATGACACATGGTTTTGTTGTTTCTATTTTTAAAATGTCTTTCATAGCCATTAAAATAGTATTGGGAGACTTTATTAACAATAACATGAGGTACCGAACTTGAAACTTGAGTCAAGATTAGGAACACCTTTCATGTGTTTCTCATCACAATGGTCCTCCTTTCTAATAATAGTTTGAGTGTATATAATATAATTTATCTGCCTCAATAGACTGAGCTTTCTGTAATATATTGTTCTTTCAGTCTGGTACACTATCCATAACAGGGATTTATTACATGGGAGCTGAATGAATGAGTGAATAAGTAGCTTACAGATGAGGCAGTATCAAATACCTAATAAATGACTAGATATGCATTAATATAATATGATAAAAGTTCTTAGTTTTGTACTTTTATATTAATTGGAAATGAAGTCCATCAGTATAATAAATAAAACAAGCTATGAAGGCTTTTATAAATTATGATCTTTTTAAAGATAAGCTTTAATTTTCATTCTCTTTCTTTTGTGTGTGTATATGTGTGTTGACAATTGAACCCAAGTTAAAATAAGCTATACCTGTAACATTCATGTTCTTACATTTTTACTTTAATTTTTCCTAGAGATTTATATTAAACTTAAATAGCTAAAGCAAAGGTGTTATGGCAATTTAAACACACAAGTCAAAAAATTTAATAATGATACTGAATTATTGCTATCAGTCATTTCCAGCTGTGTGTCTATTTCATGTTTAAACTAAGGTGAAGGTACCTGGATACACTTCAATGATAATCAGAAGCTTCAACTATTTCTCTTATGTAGAAGGATGCTGTACCTTCTATGGGAGGAATATTTCCCCTGGCATGGCAATCAGTGGTATCTTGTTTGAATTGGCAAAGATGAACACAATTCCATTCAGTTCAATAGAAATTTATTGTATAGCAAATAATTTATGAGTCTGTAGACCTATGAAAGTGAATAAGGCCTTGGCCCTTTGATGGAAGAACTCAACAGTTAGGTTTAAGAAGAAAAAATATAATTAATTCCATAGAAAGGATAAAATTTTAATTGGTAACTATCAACAATGTTTATTAGGGACTACTCTCTCTTTGATACTTTAATGGATGGCAGTAAAATGCTGTGAACAAAGTACTACAGAATCTATTTAACCTTGACTTTGGAGGGAGGCCTTGGGGCAAAGCTACCTTTCTATTGGACAGGGGTACAATATTTTGGAGTCATGATACTTATACGAGTCTGTGACACATTTTAAGATTTTTTAAATCAGAAGTTAAGACATGGACCTTTTTGGTCAAATAAAGGTTTTAGTATGTCATATTAATATGTTCTTCGCATACCAACATAGTTTGTAGTGTTTTTAATGATGAAATGTCTCACAAAGGCATAAAGAACCTGGAGCCTATGAAAGTCATAATGTGGTCTTGACTTGGAGAGGGTAGAAGCCAGAAGATGAGGAAAAGTTTCGGGGCACCTGAGCTGGGCCTTGAGCCAATAGAAATATTTCACTAGGTAGAGGAGAGAAAGATAAGGCAAAGTCTAGGTCTGGATGATAACAGTACTTAATGAAACAAGTCAGAGATGTACAAGATATGATCTCCAAACTAAAGGAATTTTCTGTTCAGTGGACAGAGACAAAAGTATGTTACATAATAGAATTACATAACAGAAAGTATGTGGGTATTCCAAGAATTGGGCATAAGACAACTGTTCTCAAATCTTTAAGATTACTGAGAATTCAAAGTTTCTGTGATTGCTCAAGTAAATGAAACAGTTGAAGCCCTGTTTTGTGAAGACTCATTTCTTTTGTCTATGTAATGTATTTAGGTACAGGGTAGGAGGCAATATAGTTTGGAAACAATTCTGAAGCCTTAAAAATTTTCACTCATCAATATTATCAGTTCATCACTATTTGTTTCACTATTCTTCAGTCACTTTTTTTTTCTTTTTTCTCTTTCTTTATGGTACTGGGCCTCAGGCACCCCAAGAGGGGCTGTGCCATTGAATCACACCTGCAGTCCCTCCATACACATTTTCAACCCATGTATAGCATGATGTAACCATATTGAATCCCAGAAATTCACTCAGGAGGGGTCGAATAGTATTGTCAAAATCCAAATCCTTAACCATATTGTATGAAAATATTTGTTCATAAATGAGGAAACATTCCTTTCTTGGAATACATTCAGAGCCCACATTTAACAGTAATAACATGACTCATATGGAAGAATTTCTGTTAATCTATCTTCAAAATTTCAGAACATAAAACTTTACTCTGGTGCACACTATTGATGCAAGTCCATTCTAGCTTTAATCAACTTCTAAAAGAGTGTGTTCTTTCATACGTTCTAAACAGTATTATCATTTTCATCGTTTCTTTCCACTCTATGTAACGAAAAAACAAACTCACTTCTGTAATTTATTTTGAGAGAACAATATGAGTAAAACTACTTATATCTTCCTTGTTGTTATAAAAGCTGTAGTGAATAATAGGTGAACTGATGAATTTAATTTTTCATCTAAGTAAACATGCACATACTAAATTCTCTACCATTGATATAATCAGGCCTTTATTTAGAAAGTGAAGGAAACATAATTATAAGTATTATTAAGATATATTGGTCTTCTGGTGGTCAGCACATCTAGGAAGATGAAGGAACTCAGTCAAAATATCTCATTCTCTAGCTCTATCCTGATGAAAACTTTAGCAAATCTATTTTCCTAAGCATGTAGGACAGCCATTATAAATAAATTGATACATCCTAATCATTATCTTCAAATTTAAAGGATCCCCTCATATGAGAAAGTAGTAGGACTACTGAATTTTGTAATCTATGTGTTTTTTATTTTATTTTTAAATAGACATCTGCCATTTTAAAAATACATTCCTCCCTATTTGTTTCATATTTACTTGTAAACCTGAAACTTACTTTAGAAAGGTAGATGAAAAACATTAATTAAAGAGTGAACAGTTCATTTTGGCATTTTGCTTACTTGGTAACTGCAAGAATTTCATTGGTCTCTGTGTACACTCAAGTAAATGCTACTTATTCACTCAAGAAATTACTGCTTTAGTTCAACATTATGTTAAAGGGAGAGACTCTAATACTATGTAAGGCAGGACTACACCTTAAAAATTTTGTATTCTGATATGGAAAACAAACCCAATA